AGTTGCTAACTTCCATGGGAAGCATTAATCTCTTTCCTCAAGGCCTGAGAGTAGATTTCTAAACATGGGCACTAAACATGCACAAGAGAGGCCCATTTTTTTTTTAAATTATTCTGTGGCTAATAGTTTAGTTCTCCAGCTATTACAGTTTGGTAATACCTATGTGTAGTGACTGTCTCGCCTCCTACTCCGATACCTTCCTCTTCTCTGCTCCAGCGTTCCTATAGCATGAGACTCAGTTTATCCAGCGCATTGAATTTATTACATAGATTGTGAGGTAAGGGGGTGAAAAAAAACCTGTGCACATCACCGCCACCATGCCAATCTCATCCCTCTCCCATTTTCCTAGTGGATCTAATGTGGATCTCTTATACTACACCTTGAGTTCTTGCTTCTCCCACATATCACACATCGGTCCCTTTAACCCCCTTCCTATCCCTGGCTTTTCCCCCTAAAGTTTTAGTTTACTCCCATCTGCCATTTCCTATGCCTCCCTTCATCCTCTGTTCTCCCACTACATAGTGCCTATTTTTTAATTTCATGCTAATTCCCCACTACGTCCTCATCCAAAAGTGTGATTACTTCTTCACATTAGACAGCCAAAGGTGTTCATGGGCTGTAAGTAACTCGCAGGCCCTAGGTTACATGGCTCTGACACAGGGAACTTAAGGAACATCTGAAGGAACAATTTAAGGAATGTCAAGAAACTTAAAGTACTTGTCTTTGGATAAGTTTACAAGGTACAATGCAATGCCATACAGATAGGATTGAGCTAGTGCTAAATGTGCCAGCTCTTTTGTCCAGTGCTCTGTCCTGGCTCATTTACGTGGCTTCTCGACAGGAACAGGCAAAATCCCACACTCATGTTGCTATACCACTGCTGATGTCAGGGTCAGCTCATTTAGGGCTAGCTCATTTACCTCTGACTTGTGCAGACATACCTTGAAGACATTTTTTTTTTAGGAGGCTCATGATGAGTGAGAACAATGTACACAAGAAAGGAATTTTTTAAATAGTGCACTTCTTTAGCTTTTGTTTTATGCTTTTATATTTTGCCTGTGATGGTTAAAATGTATCTTAGGAGTGTGCGGGTTTTGTACAAAATCACTGTAAACAATGTGTATAGTAAGGTCATTGTTAATCCTGCTTGAATCCAACCCACTTTTGTTTTCTTCCTCATCCCTTGCAACTGATTCCTGTCTGTCTCTCTTTGAGGGGGAGTCAACAGGAAGTATGATAGTGCTGGGCAGGATGTGTGACAGTTTTAAACTCCCTGCTGAGGCTCCGTTCTTCATAGTATCATAGCAGTAAGTGTCAGTACCTGAAATTTTTTGATACAAGAGTCTGTCTCTTTATTTCTAAAATAGCAGTTACATCAGATGTACCATGCACAATGCTTTGCACGGATAGAGCACTTATTACAGAGCTACAGTGTTAACTATTGTTTTATTATCTGAAAAAAAAAGAAGGGAAAATGCTAAAGAGTTTTGTTTTCTTCCTTAATATTGGAAGGCAGAATGGGAGTGCATTATCTTTTGATGGTGGTTGAAAAAGAATTGTCATAAAAAACAATAAGCAAACAGTTCCATGTTGTAAGCACTAATATAAAGGAAATGCAGACAATGCTGATTTTTTGCCATGAGAAAAAATGGTAAAATGTATTTATTGATAGGTGAAATATTCTAAAGTCAGGACAAAGTTATACTTGCTAATACAATCTCAGCACTGCTCTTCCTAGTATTACAATACATTCTCTACTGAATGACATAATCATATGCTTTCCAACCATCAATATCCCTTCATCATTCACACTAAAGGTCAGATGACAGAATGGCTCAAAACTTATTTTTATCATTCCTGTGCAAGGAGTGAATTCCCACTTCCCAGTTACTTGGATCCCTGACTCCTTATTTTTCGATCTTGCCTCATTCAGCAGGCAGCATCTGGAGAACTCATTCCTCATTTTCAGCATTAGTTGAATGGTGGGCTTTGACTGAGGCAGGGCTTCCACACGAACAAGAAACTATGTTTATTTGATGTGCAGAGAACATCTCATTTTCTGGCCTGGAAGAATTTTACCTAGGAAACAACAGCCAGAATCTCCTAATGGATCAAGAAAACTGTGGGATCTAGAAGTAGCTTTGCGTTGGCTAGCGTTTGCCCCTGGGCCTTGTGAGACTCTTGTACAAGCGCTGCAATTCAAAGCACTGTAAAGAATGTTTTCTTGCAACACTTTGTTTAGCATAGCCAAGCCTAGAGTGAGTGTTTTTGGCAGACTGTTTACATAGAAGATTATAGCACGTATAATCAGAAACTTTTTTTTTTTGCCGTGTAATTACTACATTTACATATACTTAGCCTTGAGGATAGATATACTCATTCTGTACACTGCAAAAAAAGCTACCTAGGTCTTTATTTTAGCCGTTTGATCAAAAACTTAGATTGCTGGGAGCAGCAAAACAAATCAGGAGATTGACTAGATGATTGACTTTTGGGCCTCTACTTATGAATCCATTGCACCTGCACTTTCAAGAGAAATTTTAAAAGTACCCGAAAGAAAATCGGGGTCACTGAAAACACTTGTGCTGTGGCAGTGACAGTGTCATAACAAATACACGCAGTACCTAGTATTTTTAATACTATAATGGGAAACTATTTCATGGCTGAGAAACAAGTGCCTTTTCTATACCTCAGGGGAATAGTTGTGTAACCACGAATGACTTATCATGTCTAGGCTAGTCTTTAAACCCTTGATTCCAATTGTATGAGAAGCTGGAGCACGGTTTCCAACCCGAAAGTAGCGTACACATCTCAACTGTATGCCTTATAAGGAGCTTCTCTTTTCTATCTTTGTTTACTAAGCCTTCTCAGAAAGCTAGAGCAAATGCTTTGGCATGCCACAGAACAGCACTGTCCATGTGCCTGGGCAGGTATTTCTATCTGAACGCACAGGTGAGACCGATTAGTCAATCCGACAAAGTAACGTACCTTCTTTTTTATTACTTTATGATTGCGCAGTAAACAAAAGCAGAATAGAGAAAGTGTACAGTTCTGTACTATTTGTTTCTTAGATGGAAACTATGCTCACAACTACATAAATATTTAAAGGCCAAGTACTGCATATATAGACCTATGTTTCTGGCTTCCTGAAATCAATGGGAGCCTTTTAACACTGAGTTCAGGTTTACGATGCACATTTTTCATATATTTTACCACACTAGAGTAACTTTTAGTTACTCCTTGCCCAAAAGCATAGGAATTGCCCTGCAGTGTGTCTATAGTTAGTCTGATTTAAAAGAAGGACATGCAGCCACTTTTAGTATAAAGGTTGTTGATTGTTCCCTCTCAACTGAGAATTGACCTAAATAGTGGAGCAGAGTCCTTCTGATCCACGAGACTGCTTGACTATACAAATTCATTTATGTACTCTTGGTTGCTAAAAATATAAACGTATTTTGCTGTTGGTTGCTTCTGTTTACAATGAATTTATTCCGTTTTTGCCTCTACCAGTTTTACGCCTCAGTGTTTCCATACTGAACTCGTCATTTAAAAAGCTTGCATCGGGACCAAAACCGTGTGTATTTGCCACCCTTTTATCAGGTCTTTTCTCTCATTTTTCGATTGCTCCTCTCCCCTTCTTGGCTGGGGCAACTTGAAACAGGGGCAACTTGACACAGGGGCAAAAATTATCGAAAGCCCAAACTTTGGAGCTTGAAGATCAGGAGAGGCAGTTATTCCTCCGTAAAGATGACTTTGGTGTTCGGAGGGTGTACATCCGGAATCCGCCCCCTTTTCCTGCACCTAGCAAGTCAGCAGCAAAAAGAGGACTTTCAGGGGCAGGAAAACTATTTCATGAACATAGTCATATCCATTCACTATTTGACCCGTACGTTTTTCCTGAGGCAGGAAAACGGGGATTTCCCCCCCCCCCCGGTTACTTAAAGACAATCGTTTTCACTTCTTGTGGCGACACCTCAATTTCCATTTGAAATCCGCTCTGGACAAAAGTTGGGGGAAAAAACAAAAAAACAGGGAATAAACGCCTCCTTCCTGGCGAAACAAGCACACAGCGGTCACACCGGACAGCAAAGCCCTCCCGGCCCTAG